CCTATTGAAAATAGTTTCTTTAGAAACCACTAAATATACTCTTTATTATACAGTAAGCACCCCATCATTTAATGATATAATACTTGGAACTGCATTCTTCGTTGTATCAGGATGAAGTATCATAGACGTTTCGGTAAGGCCTTTATTATGTTACATAAATAATAGAGAATAATGATAGGAAGAAAAAAATATTGTTCATGTTAAGACCTTTCAAAATGAGTACGCCGGTTCAAACGATCTAACAATAAAACTTACCATAAACTTGAAAAATTGGTATTTTAAACATTTCATAAAATTTTCTTTTCAATTTATCATTTAACGGAGCTGTAGCGCTTATAATCATATCAACACTTGATAAATCAAATTGTTGAACCAGTGGATCATTGACAAGTTTAAGTATAGTTGGCGGAGCAGCATAAATATAGTTAATTTTAAATTTTTGAATTGATTCACCAAACGTTTTTACATTGAAGCTTGAATGAATGATTGCTGTAGCACCCTATATTATTAACGCATAACTCTTAAATTGACAATGCAATGGTGAAATAGTATCAAATATAGAATGACACAAACATGAATTAAGGCCCCATGAAGAATAACCTTCAACGCATAACCGTGGCAAAATTGCTATATTTTTAGGGCAATAATGAAAAATGATGATTTAAAACACCTTAAAAGAAATTCTTTTGTATTACTTACTGTGGTTCCCATAATTATACTGTGTGGTCCAAGTTTACAACCTGCAATAATTATTTGAGCCAAATGAGCAACTACGTTTGTATGAGTACGTTCGATACATTTTTGCTTTCCGGTTGTTCCAGAACTGTAACACAAATAAGCAGTCGTTGATTTTGCTTCTTCAGGAGTATAATAAATCGGTTCAATTTCACGATCACCGATTAAAATAGAGCGATAAGGTTTATATCCTTTTATTTCTTTATCACCAAACAACATTACCCTGGAGGTGGGAATTTTTGCATCAATTGAAGCTTCAATAGCGATTTCAAGAAGTTCTGGATGCACGATCAAAACTGATGCACCTGAATCGATTAGTTGATAAGATAATTCAGTTGCTATATATTTTGGATTTAGTTGTCGTTACTTTGCCTCCTATAAATTCATAAGTAATTTAGAATTGAAAAAACAATAATATAATATTATAATTTCTATTAAAAATTATATAATACCAGCTGCGATCGCTCCCAAGAGTACTATAGGATAATCAACCTTAACAAATTAATTAATTATCAGTTATATCATTAAAAATGAATGAATTAATAACTTAATAAAAGAGTTAATAAATACCTGATTAGGTGAAAATATCGCCAAAACATCCCCACGTTTAAATCCTAACTTATCTTGCAATCCTGCAGCAAATTTTTTTCGATTCATGTTTAAATTCGCCAAAAGTGTAACTTCTACCAGTAATCCCGTCCACGTAAATATCCTTATCGTCTGGAATTTTGTTTGGATTACTAGTCACATATTGATAAATTCCGACTTGAGGAATTGTTATATCTGGATATTTAGATTTAAAGATCATCTTTGCCAACTGAAGAATGTGTAACGTGATGCGGATCTTATAGACAGAAATGTGGCGATCGTCCAATTAAAACCTTTTTCGTACTAAATTAATCACAGCTCATCAAGACAAGTGGATGCCGAGATATCTTCGAAAAAACGTTTCGCCGAC